CTTTAACTTTTTCTCAGTCTACCTCGTTTTCTCTTTCCTTCTGGTTGCCATTTTAATATTTCTTTTGGCATTCATCCATTCTTTGTATGTGTCCGAACCAGATAAGTTGTTTTGTTGTTAGGTCATCTGTGATTGTTCGTTTGATTTCCCATTATTTCTCTAATCCGTTCGTTGGTAATCCTTTCTCTGCTAGATCTTCCTGCAGCTCTTCTCCAAAAATCCATTTCCGTCGCTTTCAGCGTTGATAGTGTTTCTTTCTTTCAGTGGCCATACGTCAGAGCTATATAAAGTGATACTTTTTACTATAGTCTCATATATCCTCTTTTTATTTTCTTTGCTGATGGATTGGTCCAATAAAATGCTGTTTAACATTGTGATGGCTTTTCTCCCTGGCGTATTTCTCTCTCTTATGGCTTTGTCTAATGTTCCATCTCGTGAAATAGTGATACCTAGATATTTGTAAAAAAGATAATAAAACGGACAAGAATGGAGGAGAATAATAAATGAACAATATGTATATGTATTGTTGAGATATGTATTGATTTATTTGCATTTCAGCCCTAGGTCTATACAGTCTGTTGAGCATTTGAAATAATTATCATTAACTTTGCTACTTCATTATTTGTTTTTTTTTTGTAATAAAAATTTATTACAAAATTATCCCTTGTTCGTGATATTTTGTGAAGAATGCACCACGTACCTCTCCCTTATCGGGAACAAGGAATCTTACATAATTCTCTTCTTAGAAATAATTGTTTGTATAAATCGTTTATTAACGCACTTACTACACACACTTACATAGTCAAACTTCAGCAAAACAATACGATCGATAACTTAAGCCAATTAAAAGATATAAATTGAAATTTGCTTTCTACGTCGAGGAATACAGTTAGATTTGCAGAGTTAGTCAGATCTGGAATCTAATTCAATAATTTTGTATATATTGGAATGTAGGTGGAATGAAGAAAACACATAAAAAAGAAAGGAATAACACCAGCTTTCAGAACAAATAACAACTTGGCAAATATATTAAAAACAACAAGGACCAAAATAAAAAGCACTTACACAGTGGTGTATACAAAATTAAATGTGGCGACTGCCCAAAAACTTACAACGGTCAAGCTGGTAGAAATTGTAATAAATGAATAGCAGAACATAAAAGGGCTTTCAATCGATTTTACATACGCACTTCACCTTCAAGATCATAATTATTCTTTTAATGCCGAATTTCAAATTCTTCACATTCAAAATAAAGGCCTTAAGCTATCTTTGTTAGAATCTATGGAAATTAACAAATTAAAAAACACGGATATAATTCTGAATGACCAACTTGAGACAAAAGAAAGTTTTCAGTGTTTTATTGTTACAAAAAACGTAGTCTTTTACTATCTGTTACAACATTAAAAATATGTTTCTACCATCCCGCTAATCCGAATGTACTAACAAACTAGTTTCCAACATCACAATTTATGAGTGGGTGGAAATTGGTGTAAAATTATTTTGCATAATTATAATGCAAATTCACAATAAATACATTTACATATATGAACAGTAACTAAAAAGAGCAGAGGAAAAGTTTTAAGTATTTTTACATATAGAGTAATTGATAACACAATCTTTGTTGGAACCATCAGCTAAGGATAATTTGTAAGAGTAATCAGTCGGTCATACCTACTGATATCATGTAACCAGGAAATAAGCCCCTTCTTCTTAACGTGCCCTATCAAGTCCCCTTGACGTTGGCGATTAACATGGCGAAACTGTCTCTGTCTCGAGCTATTCTAAATAGTTGCTCAGCTTTCTTTATTCCTGTCCACTCCCTGATATTCTTCAACCAAGAGGCCTGCTTTCTACCAATTCCTCTGCGTCCTTCGATTTTACCCATCATAATAAGTTGAAGAATATTATATCGGTCTCCCTTACTACGTGTCCAAAATAGCCCATCGTTCTACATTTGATGTTATCAAGCAGCTCGCGAGCAGCATTTGCTCTCTCAAGGACTGCCACATTTGTCAGCATAGCCGTCCATGGAATTTTTAGTATACGTCTGTGCAACCACATTTCAAAGGCCTCCAGACGATTAATGGTAGATATTTTTAATGTCCATGCTTCGACACCGTATAAGAGGACTGACCAAATGTAGCATTTAACCATAATGGGGCAATAAGCCCTAGGTAAATAAATTGCATTCATTAAATTCGTTCTTAAATCACTGTGTAGTTTTTTTCGTCTATTTCCTGAAGACAATTATATCCCAAATGTTGAAGATAGCAGACGAGATTATACAGTATAGGTAAAAGTTTATGGTCGGTATGGACCTTACATGAGATGGAGTGAGAAACAACTGTTTAAAAAGAGAGAGATATATTAGGTGTCCGCCTTTTATATCACCGAACATAAATGAGTGGATATGGAGTAGATATAATAAAAAGGGGAAATTCAACGTTGCCAAACTTATTGGTTTTATTTGACCTGTTGTCTTTTTCGCATTTGAACAATGCTCCAAGATAATAAAATTTGGGCGAAATGGATTTAAATGGCAGCTTATTGTTTTTTATTGGGAATATGCCACAATTTTATTTTACAATAAGTGTAATATAACATTTTGATTTATACTTCGGAAATCGTTTTATATAAATAAAATTTATTAATGTTTGGTATTTTAAAACGATTTCTGAATTAAAAATCTAAACATCAAAATAAGCTTATTTTAAAGTGACATTATGCCTTATTTCCAATAAAAATATTAAACTGCATATGAATAAAAAAGCTTGGTACAAAACTATTTGCCAACGTGGCGTGTCGCGTGGTCAAATCATCGAATCAAAACGCAAACAGGTATTTACGAATAGAGGTGGGTCATTGACGTCGCAAAACCGATTTTCGTAAACAAGTAACTATGATTTTTTAATAGTAGTTTCAAGTAAGAAACTACCTACATAAACAAACATAATGGCTATTATCGTTTATCTGTATATTTATTGAAGTGAAGGAAACTAATAAAAGATTTTATTATAACTTGAAAACTAAACTAAACAATACAAATAGTAAATCGTACCTACGTTTACATTACACAAATTTAATGTGTAATTTACATTACACGTTATTATTAAATCACGAATCGCCTAAATTGACATTTAAAAACATAAGTTTTTTACTTTACTTCTTATTAATTTTGTTTTTCTTTTATTTAAAATTAAACCTGATTTTGAACATGTGTTCACATTTACAATACTTTATGAATATAGTGGTTAAGTTAGGAGATACATGGCGATGGTTTTTCCACCATTGTAATGGACTCTCGCTACAGGTGTACGTTTAGATGAGTCATGTCCAATTAATTGATCAAAAATACACCATGGACTTAAGTCATCTTTATCAGTTTCTTTTTCTTATAACGGTTGATTTTCAATAGTACAATCTTCTTGTTCTTTAATATAGAAGTAACCAGCTTCTTAACTCTTTCTTTTGTTTTTTTTAGCGTCATTTTTATCAGAAAATCCTGCACTTTAAATCGTGAATCCATAAACGTACATAATGACAATATGCCACTGTATTCTATCCCTCTAAATCTTTTTGCTAAACCCGGGATTAGTAATTATCCCGTAATTAGTAATAAAAACCCGTACTACGTCGGATACTAACTATGGATGTAAGGTTACTGTTTGCTAAAATTTTATTGCAAGATTTTTGCAGGCAGCGTACCAGAACAATCACTGAACTATCATTCAAGTATTTTTGGCCACTCATTGTACTTGTTATTTCTTTAAAAAGGCCGTAAAATTTAGGACAATTACGAAAAAATAATCCAGTCTTCATTATTTAGATTTGGTCTAAGTCTAAGTCTGTATTAACTGATACCAATGTGGAACGGATTGCTCTTCTACTCCGTCATTCTTTCTACATGTAATAGGTGAAGTTCTACCTAGTTTCCACGTCTTGGATTGGCGTTTGGGATCTTTGTTATGTTGTAATTGATACTTTAAAGCGTTTCTGAAGATAAGGTACTTTTTAGAAATGTGTTTTTTTGCCGAATTGTCGAAAAAAAGACTTTTTATTTTATCTATTTGTACACGACAGCATTTAAGTGCGTCCTCCATCAATAAATTTAACGTATGAGCAAAACAATTTAAATGTTTTCATTCCCAAAACATATTTAATAGCTAATGACCATATTTGAGGCATTATCAGTTACTGCAAAATTTACTTTTTGTTTTAGACCCACTGAATAATAATTTCACTAATTTTAAAAGCGATGTTTTCTGAATTATGGTTTCCAGAAAAATGGCAGCAGTCTAATTAAACCGTGTTAAACTCTAAATTTTCGGTTAAAATTCGTTAAAATTCAACTAGTTGATGGTTGAAGCTGGTTACTTTTATAAAAAAAGAAGAAAAAGAAGATTATTACTATTGAAAATTGACTAGTACAAGAAAAGAAAACTGATAAAGATGACTTATAGTCCATGTAAATGTAAGTACTATTTGTATTGTTTAATTTATTTTTCAAGTTATAATAAATATATTCTTCGTTAGTTTCTTTCACTTTAATACTTTATACACATAAACGATAATAGCCAATATGTTTGTGTACTCGCTAATTTGAATTACTGGTAAACAATCAACTAGTTTACAGTTTACGAAAAACGGTTCGATAAAAATTTTAAAAAACTAAAGGACCCACCTCTAGTTTCTTAGCTTTACGAGGATAGGAACCACAGAATATGTAAAATATCTCTGATCGGAACTAATCGTCTCACTAACAGGCAAAATGGGCGTCAAGAAGATTTATGGAGGGAGACCAAGGGGAATATGATTGTTATCTTTGTCTATTCGCTGAAAATATGATTTTATATCTGTGTTTAGATATCCTGTTAAGTTTTACCTTACCGACCATAAAATTTTACCTACACTGTATATCTTCCACTCATACAGATTTGAATATCAATTTAAAAGATTTTATAAAGGAGAGGTTAAGTGAACCAAAAAATAAAAAAAATTACCTTGAAAAGAGAATGATTCCCTATAACATAAACAGCTTTTTTGCCTCGCGTAAGAGCGACATTCAAACGATTTTCATTAGCTAAAAAGCAATTTTGGCTAAACCTTACGCAGGAAATAATGATTACGTCATCCTCTGTGCCTTGGAATGAATCTACCGTATTTACATTGACGCTTACATTTTCATTCATCCTAAAAAAATACTGAAATAAGAATAAAAAAACTTTTTTATTAAATTTAAATTATACAAACAAAGTCATAGAAAATTATTTGAAATTCTTCTATTTTATTTAAACCATAATCGGCTATTGTTCCGGTTTGCTGAAATCAGATATTTTAATCCAGTAGATTCAAATGTATTGCGTTGGGTCAACCCAGGAACAACTTTTTCACCTATAATGTGGGACTAATATGATCTCCTACAATACTTGCTCAAACGTTTACCTATTGAGAATACTGAGTATGTGGCTAACGCATTCAGTGAGAGTTCTCCACCGACCAATATCTACAGTTTTATCGGTTTATAGTTGGTAAAATATGAATGTTGATTTATCAGAAAAAAGAATTGAACAGCTATTACATTTCTGATTAGTGTAGTCATTAATCTTTCGCGAAAATCTATTCTTTGATCTGGACTTTCTTTTGTTATCTCCTGCACAAAAGTCAATTTATACGGACGAAGTTTTTCTTCATGAAGACATCTTACGATAGTTGTATGACTCACATTGCTTTGACCAGCAATTTTATTAAAATTATTTCTTCTTGACGTTTCATCTACATACGTCTGACATATAAAAGAATACAACTTTCACTTACGGATCTGTCGTATCAACTGTCGTAACACAACTGTCGTATCAAAGAATACGACTTTCACTAACTGATCATCATGATCATCATCATTATCACCATATTTCTGGCTTTACAACCCTACGTGGATCCTAGCCTCCTCAAGAATTTTTCTACAGTCATCCCTATCCATCGCCTTTCTCCGCCAACCATGCATTCCCATATTTCTCATATCTTCATCGATGTTATCAAGGATCCTTGTCCTAGGTCTTCCTCTTCTTCTCTGACCAATCGGTCTATCAACGAGCGTTTTTCTAGCTGGGTCATTTTGTTCCATCCGCATTACATGCCCTATCCATCTCAGACGTCCTAGCTTAATATGTTTTACGATATCAGGTTCCTGGTATATTCTATAAAGATCGAAGTTGTATCATCTTCTCCACACTACATTGTCATTCACTGCTCCATAAATTCGCCTGAGTACTTTTCTTTCTAAACATCCTAACACGTTTTCATTATTTTTTGTTAGAGTCCAGGTCTCTAAACATATGTTAAGACGGGCGTAGTATTGTTTTGTAGATATTTATTTTTGTATTTCTCGATATAATTGTGGATTTAAGGAGGAGATTAAGCCCAAAATAGCATCTGTTGGCCATGAAAATTCTGCGACTTATCTCTGCGGTGGTATTATTTTCAGTGTTAAGGGGCGCTCCCAGGTATACAAATTCATTAACTGCTTCGATGACGTCGTTTTCTATAACAAGTGGTCGTAGTATTTGTGGTTGCGTGCTTATTTTCATATATTCGTTTTGTTGCTGTTTATTATTAAACCCATTTTTGTAGCTGATTCTTTTAATGCTACATACGCCTCTCGTACAGCGTTTTCCGTTCTCCCAACAATATTGATATCAGCATAAGCCAGGATTTGAACTGATTTATTATTTATTGAACCAGTGATTGTGATTTGTGACATACGTATTACTTTTTCCAGAGCCAAATTGAACAATATACAGGAGAGAGGGTCTCACTGGCATAACCCATTATTTGCTTTATAAGGTTCGGACAGTTCATCCTGAATTCATACTCACATTCAACTTTTTCAAGAGATAGTTTAGTTAAATTTACCAACTGATTTGGTATTCCTAGCTCTTTCACTGCTTTGAAAATTTCTCCTCTATTCACAGAGTCGTAGGCTCCACTGTAGTCTATAGTGTATGATAAGTATCAATCCATATTCCAGTGTTTTTTCCAAAATTTGTTTCAGGGTTGCAATCTGATGAATGGTCGATTTACCACCTCTGAAATCAACCTGGTATTTTCCTACTATCCGTTCTGCATATGATGCCATACGATGACATAGTACTGTGGAAAATATTTTTTACGCTGCATTTAGAAGCATAATTCCTCTGTGGTTAGAACACTCAAAGATGTCTGCTTCTTTGTGTATGGTGCAAAGTATTCCAATCATTGGGGAGGGATTTTTGTGTCCATATTTCTTTTATAAGCTGCTGTAATGCCATTATAGTATCATAGTCACCTTCATTATATAGTTCAGCTGGGAGATTATCTATTCCGAGTGATTTGTTTCTGGCTAGATGTTTAACTGCAACTTTAACTTCACTCGTTGGTCTTCCCTCTCGTCTTTTCCCCTTATCTCATCTCTTTCGTCTTCCAGGTTATCTTCTTCTTCCTCTATATTAAGTGCCTGATTAAAGTATTCCACTCATCTATTCAATACATATTTCCTTGTTGTTAATAAGTCGCCATTCTGACTTGTCTTGTAGTTGCCTTGAATTATTTTCTGTTGATGTTAAGTTTCTTATAGAATGCTCTGAATTCTTTCTCTCCGTTGAGGTTTTCTATACAGTATGATGCAAATGTATGGAATAAATTCATTAGTTCAGAAACAGACGACTTTAAAAAAACAAATCAATTTTAATTTTTGAATGACCTTCAATTGATATATATGTATGTGTTGGACATTACGTCATCAGTGTCGGCGTAATTGACGATTTTTTTTAAATACAAACCGTCACGCGACAGCTCATTTGAAAGGTCTCCTTATTGTCTTTGCAACGATATAATCACTTGAATATTTATTTCTACAGGGTTCACCAAAATTATGAAGTTTGTTAAGTAACATGGAATTACAATAACTATTCATTCACTGAACTAAAATATACTAAGGAACGCCATTGCGAATAAAACAAAATAGTGTTTTTTGCTGGTTTTGAAAAAAAAAATACATTGTTAACAAACAATGCTACATTATAATCTGAAATTAATTATTGTAGTAAGCATTTCAAGTTAATTTTCAAAAATATTTAAATACATATTGTCATTGACTCGTCTTTATTTGTCAATGATCTGTGAATCTGTCAAATAATAGACGTCAAATTTTTACTCTTTAGTTTTTAGCCGACATTAATAACAGCATTTACAAAAATGAAACTAACAGAAACAGAACGAATCGATATTTTAATTATGATTGGTTATGGAGATAGAGTGAGGGCTTATAAGCAGAAGTTTGTAATTTATTTAATGCTAAATACCCCGATCGCGAACCAATTACTCAATCAACAGTAAGTAAAATAAAAAAAAATGTAGAGAATTGGCCATGTTAAAGATCTTCCCAGAAGTGGTAGAAAATCAATATCCGAAGCCAAGAAACTGGACATTGCACTGGCGTTTCAAGAAAATCCCCATAGCAGTTCTAGGCAGGTCGCACTAGATAATAATGTCCACCAATCAACTGTTGTAAGATTGCTAAAAAAGGAGAAGTGGCATCCATATAAAGCACATTCGGTCCAGGAGCTATTAGAAGATGACTTTGATAGAAGAATTGAATTCTGCGAAACGTTATGCAAATATGTAACAGATATCAGGGTTTCATACAAAAGGTACTTTTTTCTGATGGTCTTTTATGCTGGACGGTCAGCTAAATCGCAAGACATATCGATACTGGGCAAGTGAAAATCAACATTGGATGACAGAGTATAGGACACAATATCCTGAGAAGATGAATGTTTGGGCCGGCATTATAAGCAATCAAATTGTAGGGTCATATTTTTTTGAGGAAAACTTAACTGCTTCTCGTTATATCTAGAATTTCTTCAGGATTATTTGTTACCACAGCTGAATCAGCTATTCGAAAATAGAAATGATTTGTGGTACCAACATGATGGGGCTCCCCCACACTACGGCGTTGAGGTACGAAATTACCTTAATAGCGTTTTCCCATGTAGGTGGATAGGTAGTAGAGGGCCCATCGAATGAGTACCAAGGTCTCCAGATTTGACTCCGTTAGACTTTTTTTGTGGGGATATTTAAAGAGCAGACTTTATCAAATCGACCGAATAATGTAGAAGAGTTGAAGGAGCGCATCAGAACGGAAATTACACAAATAACTCCTAAAGTCATCGGAAAGGTTAGGAAATAATTTATTGCCCATATTTCACGTTGTATTGTTGCTAAAGGTCGTCAATTTGAACATTTGTTGTATTTAATTGTATTTAAGTAAACATTTATTGTAAGGTAATTGTATTAATAAACCAACAGTTTTGGTTAACCCTGTAGAACTAAATATTCAAATAAGTATATCGTTGCAAAGGCGATAATTAGACCTTACAAATGAGCTGTCCCTTGACCTCGGTTTGTATTTAAAAAAATCGTCGATTACGTCATTACGTCGACACTGATGACGTAATGTCCAACACATATATAGCAATTGATGGCCATTCAAAAATTTAAATTGACGTGTTTTAAGATTTTTTTTAAAGTCGTCTGTTTCTGAAATAATGAATTTATTCCATATATTTGCATCATACTGTATATTAAGTTCCTCATTTAGGTGGTTTCGTTTTTTTCTTTTGTGAATCCTCTTTTCTTGTCTTCTCTTTGTCTGGTAATTCTCTACAGTTGTTCTAGTTCGTCGGATAAGCATCTTCCTGTAGGCTTCATTTTTTTCTTTTGTTGCATTCAACGTCAAACCAATGATTTCTACGGGCCCAAATGTCTGTTCCTATTTCCTCTTTCGCTGCTGCTTTATGGTCTTCCTTTGTTCTGGTCCAGTAGGAGTCTATATCTCTCTGGCATTCTTCATTTACATTTTGATTCCTTAGCCTGTTCGGCTCTCTCGGCTTTTGCACATTTTATTTTTTTGTATTCATCTTATTTTGTTTACTAGAATTTTACTAGTATTTGAAATTCTAGCCCTCAATGTTGAGATCACTAGGCAATGATATGGGTCTATGTTTGCGCCTCTATAACTTCTGCAGTTTATTATGTCTGTTCCATGCCTTGAATCTATCAAGATCTGATCAATCTGACTCGTTGAATTATCATGATAAACTTATGATTTCATAATCTCATATTTTATGAATTTTTGAGCATTTTTCTTCGCATATTCACCCGAAGATTTGATTTAAAAAAATATGTGATAATGTAAGAATTAGATTTCCGTACGATTAAAGGTATATCTCTTAACTACTGTGCAATAGAATCATGTTGGGACATTTCGTCAGACCATTCTCCCATTTTAATTGACCTAGATTCCAAAATCATACTCAGAAGTAAGCCTCCAGTCCTAACCAATAACCAAACAAACTGGAAAATATTTCGCAGTGCACTTACAAAATAAATATCAATAAACTTACTACTTACAAAAGGCATGATGGAGTGCTACTCCTGATCAGACAATATGAAAGGAAAGCATAAATTGTTCTCTGAGTACCAAAACGCTTGATTGAAGGGAAAAGAAAACTAATAAGAAACTGGCAAAACACACACGCACCTATTGACAAAGCAAACCTAAACAGAAATACCAGAAGACTTAAAAATCTGTTAAAAGAAGAAAAAAATAAGGGAGTCCAAACTTACGCCATACCTCCTTTAAAAAATGTCAAAGTTAAATGAGCAAGAACAGATACAAAGAAATCCGAGACAGTCGCATCTTTCGAAAGTGTTTATTCCATTTACCAGAGAAGTGCATGTAGAACAAGAAGAACCACTTCATTCTTTTCTTGAAGCTCCATATCAAATGGAACACCAATCTCCCAATTTAACATTAAAGAAACAAAACAGATAATAAAAAATAAGATAACACCCAACAAGGCGCCGGGATACGATCTCATTACAGGTCCTTCTCATCCTTCAAGAACTAACCCGTGATTGCTACAGAATAATTACAATGATCTTAAATGCTATGTTAAGTCTGCGCTACTTCCCTTTGCAATGGAAAGTGACGCAGATTATACTCATTCAAAAACCTGGTAAAGACCCAAAAGATGTCAACTCATAACGACCGATTAGTTTCTCATAACACGCTACAATATAACAAGTTCACAGATTATACACAACAATAAAAACCAGTCTCGAAAATAAGAAATACTGTACTGCAGCCTTTTTAGATGCCTCTCAAGCTTTTGACAAGGTGTGGCACACAGAACTTCTGTACAAGTTAAAGAAAAGCCTACCTTACACTTACTTCAAACTGCTTAAATCATACCTTACAGAAAGAAGATATCTAGTAAAGTATAGTGAAGCCTACACAAAACTCTACCCCATCATATCTGGTGTACCTCAGGGTAGTGTGCTCGGGCCGATCTTGTACCTGTTATATATGGCTGACTTACCCACAAGTAATAACCTTACGCTCGCAACATTTGCAGATGATACTGCTTTCCTAACATCGCATAGTAATCCAGTAATATCATCAGACATACTGCAATTACATCTAAACAAAACTAATGAATCGTTTAAACTCTGGAGAATTAAAGTAAATCCCTCAAAGTCCACACATAATACATTTACTCTAAGAAGAGTTATAGGTCCACAAGTTAACCTCGATAGACATGCTTTACTCCAAAATGATGACGTAATATATCTAGGCATTCATCTGAACAAATTCTGGAAATCTATATGGACGAAAAGACTACAACTAGAAATTTTGTAAAAAAAATTACTGGATGATGGGAAAAAATTCACAATCGAATATCAACAAGAAGCTGATATACAAAGTTATAATAAAAGCCGCTTGGTCATATGATTCGCAGCTCTGGGGATCAGCTAGCAAATCTAATGTTATAAAAATACAAATATTTCAATCTAAAACTCTAAGAAAGAACAATCGCTAATGCTCCTTGGTGTATTCAGAATAACGCCTTACATAGAGATCTGCAGGTACTAACAGTCTCTGAAGAGTGCAAAAGAATTTCTAAACAGTATCAAAACATGGTGCGTGTGCATCCTAACACCTTGGCATACAATCTTCTCCACAACCAACAAGCGAAGAGGTATGATCCCTTGGGTCTACCAAACCGTTCCTGACAGTGCCTACAGTAGTGGAAGCTACGCCTTCAACAGCGCCTCACCATTGTGATCTATGTGTTTTTAGTATTCGTGTTCTCGTATCTGTGTATGTGCGCATTTCACCTAATGTGCTAATATGTGTGTTATGATGCTTTGGTCACTGCACCTTACATCTCTCTGACATTGTAAAGACAAACAATTTTACTTATTAAGATAAATAAAATTTCTTGTAAAATATATTCACACTTAAGATAAAAATAAACTTACTTCATTTCCCTTATACATTTTGTAATTAAACACACTTGCGCTCGATAAGGAGTAATAATTCCAATACTGTATTTACAGGTCGGTAATACATGCGTATTCAATGCTTTTAGTATACAAGAAACAACATCTAGTTCATTGGGGTTTTCATATTCTGAGCTAAAAAATAAATAAATTGTATTATTACTAGTTAAACTCGAAACATATAGGTAAGCAAGCTAGGTGAATATATAAATAAGTTAAAAAAATACGAAATTTTTAAACGACCATTTTTAATTAATATAATAATTAAAAGAACACTTTTAGTTTCCGTGTCTTCTTCAGTTTTATTCAAATTACGAGCTTCCAGTACTTAATGGCATCCATATATTTCGTTGGCTTGCTTCGCGTTGGTTGAATTGCTTGATTTGTTCAGTCCTTATGTCGTTAGGGCCAGAGCCTTTGATATCTTTCACGGACAGGAGTATTTCACGTAATTCGTCGAGGATGAAGGGATCTTGTAGGATGTGATTTTCGTTGTTTTCATTTTTTTTGGATTTTAGTTTTCTGTGGCCCTGTGCTGGTTTTTCCTTTTAATAGCAGTTATCTGGTTAGCAGTCACATTGCCTGTTTGAGTTGTTGCACTTGGCTTATCTTGATTTAAGTTATTGTAAGTTTCCAAGTTGTTCTACTATTCTCTTGCATGTCCAGGCTCTCTATCAGGTTGGTCACTTTTCTCATTTATTTGCAGCTAGCATATGTAATAAAATCTCGCCTGCTTCGATGGTGTCTTCAGAAAAAGGATCAGTCTCATACAATTCTTTACATTTCTCCATGGCTTCTTCGTTAGTAAGACCAGAGATATACTGAGTGCGAAAGCGCCTGGGAGTATTGAGAAAAGCCTTTATATTGTTACGAACATGCATTCAGCGTGGTCCGCCTAACGGTTGCATCTCGAAGCATCTCAAGCATCGAGAACCATCGATCGATAGATTCCTCGACCGCAAGAGAACAATCAGTCACGTATTTGACTGAACTAGAATTAGAGGTGGGAACTTTCTAGAACATAGTAACTTTGGTATATATATGTAACGAAATTAGGAGTTAAGTTTTAGTCGATAAGATAGTAGCGAACTGTAAAGTTATAAATAAATATATTTATATAAATTCGAACCGCTCGTTTTATTTAAAACGGTACAATATGATTCTACACTTGGTTGTAACGAGTCAATATGATTTTCGAGGTCATTTGTAAAGCTGGACCACTTAGCCCTTTTAAAATTGAAGTATGTCTAAAAAGGCACCTTGAAACGATATACAGTGTGATTCGTAAGTAATGAAGAATTAAAGTAAAAAAAAATTAATTATTAAAATTCATAATTAACCTAAATGTGATGTGATCCTCCTTAGTGGTCCTTATTTACCCCTAATGTATGCCTATTTACCAATGAATGATTCTGATTATTAAACCTACCTGTTATATGAATTTGAAGAGTTCATAAGGTTAAATACTAAATATGGCTTAAGTCGTGGCTCTATTGGATTAGTGCATATTGGAGAAGATTTCAGTGCTCCGTCATAAAATTTTCTATTTGGATAATCACATATGGCTGGATTCATTCGATATTGTTCACATAGCATTTTCATTGGGCTCTTGTCTCGATTGTTTACAAATTTTTCATATATCCTTGTAAACAAAGATTTGCCAAATCCGACATCTTGGGCTTCCTACAATTAGAATTTTTCGACATAAAAAAAGCGTCTTACATTATACAAAAAAAATAATACTTGGAAGTCCAACAAATGAACATAGTGTAGATTCGTCTTTTTATGTAATACGAACCTTCTCTATAATGTATAACATAGTTTATAGACCAACAACTTGTATAAATTATTATTA